GGTCACTCCGGCGAAAGCTCACTCTTACGTCTAGTAGAACTAGTCAACGTTTTCTTATTCGGCGTTTCGACTTTGGGCGGAAGGGAGGGGGGAGGGGCCCGGGGAGGGGGGGTCTGGCTCCAGACCGCTGCTTAATGCGACTTTTTGTAGCAGTGCATCCTATGGGGGCTCCACCTGCTTGGAACAGGCGCCAACAACAGCCAAGATCTACTCCATGGGAGGGGGGAAGGGGGGTGCGAGGGCCCGCGCCGATCAACACCACCATCACCATCGGCGTCATCATCGTCGTCAACACCGCCACTCGAACCCTGAGACGCGGACGATACCGGTAGCAGAGAGAACAAAGTGGACAATCATGTTGACCGGCGCCCTCCTGGCGATATCGCTGGCACATCACATCAAAATTGAATCCCTAATAAGTGTCGCCTCGAAGAATACAGTCGGACCTAGGACAGAAACATCCTGTGAGAACAGGAGATTCTCCGCTGGTCCCACATGAAGGGCATGCGAGGTTGCCCTTCCCCAAGAGGCACAGGCACATCCAATACACACAAAGAACTTTAGGGCACCCTTCCCGAACCGACCTCGATCTTATACCTGTCCGAATGCACCACGGGAATCTCGACTGAAATCCGGAGGAATCGAAGGAGAATCCAAGGAACTTGAAGGACCCGGGGTCGCGTGGACATGGGCAATCCCGATTGCGATCCCGATGCTGGCATTGATTATTTCAGGGGATCCGATGAGGGAGTCCACGGAAGCACATCGCAGACGGTTTCCGCGAACCCCCCCCCGCGCGATGTACTAGCACATTTGTTCAAAATGAAAGAATCCACTGGCCGTCACAAGAAAAATTGGATACCATAAAAATATCTGAAGTTAGCGACGGTCTGTTGACTTGCTTGAGAAACACTGAATGTTGAAGAATATGCAACCGAAGTATGGCAGCACTTAACTACCGAAACATCTACACGTAGCATAAATACAACTGGTTATTTAAGTTAATTACGATAATGAAAACGCAAGCCAATCAACCATACTCGAGAACGACATATGACTACTCACTACGTAACACATTTCCTTCCACATGAAATAAATACTCATACGTGTCGCTGGTACAATGCTGTACAACCAATACAATGAAGGACCCGCATGGTGTGTAGATTACACATGTATACAAGAAAAATAAACACTAAGAAAATAAGAACTCTCATGTACACGGTGATATACAGCACCCGTAACCTGAAATGGTAATTCGAAAACAAACAGAACACCGCACACTTACAGAAGCACGAATGTGTAATGCGCGTACGACAGAATTGTTGCATCTGATGTCAAATACCATGCAAAGTAATATCAAAGGGGCCCCCTTCGAAGCTGACGCAACTCTCCCCCGACCTATCTCTGGTAAGATCTCCAGCTCTGAGCGCCTGGCGCGGACTGGGATCCATAGGAAGCCCGTCTTCGGAACCCTCCACCTGCCCTTCTCCTCGACCAGAAGACCTTAGTTCGCGGGCCCCTGCGGTGGATATCGCTTCCGCCACAGCCCTGGTACAAGAAGCGTTGCAATTTCCTCTGGTAAGAGGGGAGAGGTGGGGGACTGATTGCTTCCTAGGGTTAATCAGCATCATTGCCGTCATCGCCGTGCCCGCCACTGCCACCGTCCTCATCGCACTCATCACAATCAGTACCATTGCCGTGGTCATCGTCGTTGTTGCCGTCACCCTCGTCATCGTCATCACCGCCACCCTCGACACCATCATGATGACATCCTCGGGCCATAACCTCCTCCGGCCGCGGCCCATGCTGCGCGGCGGACTGCCCTCCGGCCACGGACAGCAGCGCGTCAGCGGTGCGCCGGCCGGCCGCACCGCCTGGCGGTGCTGCCGCCGCTGGGCGAGAGGCCCTGGGCGGTCCTGCAGACCGCTGGCGAGTGCGTGCCCCTCCGGAGGCCCTGCAGGCCGCAGGCCCCCAGGGGCCGCGGGGCGCGCCCTGGGCCAGCGCGGATGCAGACGTGGCGCGGCCCGCGCGCGGGGGTCGGAGGAGCCGGCCGGGGCAGCGAGAGACACTGCGGGCCGCCCCGCCGCGCCCCGCCGCGCCCCGCCGCGCCCCGCCGCGCCGCACCGCGCCGCGCCGCGCCCCGCCCCGCGCGCCCCGCCGCGCGCCCCGCCCGAGCGCCTGCCGCGCCGAAGGTGCGCCCCGCCCCGCCGCGCGCGCCCCGCCACGCGGGCCCCGCCGCGCCGCGCCGCGCCCCGCCGAGCCCCCGCCGCGCCGAGGGGCGCGGTGCCCGCGCCTGGCGGCGGGGCGCCGGGCCCGCGGAGGGCGGGCAGGCCCGCGGAGGCGCAGCGGAGCGGCGCGCGCCTCGCGGCCGGGCCCGGCGCGGCGCGGCGGAGGGCCCGCGGGGCTGCGGGGCAGACCTCCGCCCCCGTCGGGGCGAAAATCTCGACGGGAGGGTCGTGGCAGTTTTCGGCCTCCGGGGGCCTTGGGTTAGGAGGCAACTACGGGGAGGGCTTCGTCGGCAGGATTAGGGAGGATCAGGGCCCCAGTGGCGGGATGCTGCGCTGGATTGGGCCGCGGACTAAGGGGGACTAGGCTGGATCAGGCGGGCTCAAGCCGGATTAAGCCAGAGTTTCGACCAGGGCGCGGCCAGAATTCGCATGTGGAAAAAGGTCACAATGACAGCTTTATGGATGGTTTCGGCCTCTTGCATGCCCCCGGACCATCAACGGCTCATCGTCATCAGTATAAGCTTCATGATCGTCATCGTCATCATCGTAGTCACGATCAACATCAATATCAATATCAACATCAGCATCATCAGCATCATCATCATCATCATCATCATCATCATCATCATCATCATCATCATCATCATCATCACCACCACCACCACCACCACCACCACCACCACACAACCATCATTCATCATCATCATCATCATCATCATCATCATCATCTCATCATCATCATCATCATCATCATCATCATCATCATCATCATCATCATCATCATCATCATCATCATCATCATCATCATCATCATCATCATCATCATTATCATCCTCATCATCATCATCATCATCATCATCACCATCATCATCAGCAGCAGCATCGGCATCGGCATCAGCATCAGCATCAGCATCAGCATCAGCATCATCATCATCAGCAGCATCATAAGCATCTTCGTCATCATCATCATCATCAGCATCATCATCATCATCATCATCATCATCATCATCATCATCTTGATCATCATCTGCATCATCAGAATCATAATCATCAACATCATCATCATCATCATCATCATCAGCGGCAGCATCATCAGCATCATCGTTATCCTCATAATCCTCGTCGTCATCATCATCATCAACATCATCATCACCGTCATCGTCAGCATCAGCATCCGCATCAACATTATCATCAGCATCATAATCAGCCTCATCATCATCTTCATCAACCTCATCATTATCATCGGCATCATCAACAGCATAATCACCATCATCATCATCATCATCATCATCATGATCATCAGCATCATCATCATCATCATCATCATCATCATCATCATCATAAGCATAAGCATAAGCATAAGCATCATCATCATCATCGTCATCATCATCATCATCGTCATCATCAGCATCGTCAGCATCATCATCATAATCCTCGTCGTCAGCATCATCACCATCAGATTCATTATTAGTATCGTCATCTCACCATCCTCATCATCATAAACATCATCATCAGCAGCAACATCATCATCCTCACCCTCGTCCTGATCCTCATCCTTATCCGCATCCTGACCCTAGTCATGATCATCCTTATCATAGTCATCATCATCATCCAGGGTAGACCTAGGTGTAGGCCCTAAGCGTAGGCCTACATCCTCATCTTCATCATCATGATCATCATCGTCATCCTCATCATCATCAACATCAGCATCATCCTCGTCTCCATGGCCATCATCATCATCACCATCATCATCAGCAGCAGCATCAGCAGCCTCATCCTCATCCCCATCCTCCTCATCATCATTATCATCAGCGTCGGCATCATCATCAGCATCATCATCATCACCACCATCATCATCATCGTCGTCGTCATCGTCGTCCCAATCGTTGCCGCCATTCCCAACACGTAGATCACCACAACCAACACCAGCGCCATCGTCATCGTTCCCCACTGCTTCCCTCACCCCCCACCCCGCCAACTTCTCATCCTCATCGTCCTCCTCCGTCCCATCCTTACTGGGCTGATCCGACGGTCCCTGACGAAGCTCAACTGAAGGTTTGGCGACCCCTCCCTATACGCTCCCGCAAGCCAAGAGGAGGGTGAAGGAGGAAAAGGAGGGAAAAGAGAAAGTGCATGAGGAAAGGAAGAGGAGGAGGAAAAGCGAAGGCAAGGAGGGGGAAGGAGGAGGAGGAGAAGGAGGGGGAGCAGGAAGCGGAGGGAAGGGAAAGGATGCGGGAAGGGGCATGGAGACTAGGAAGATGGCTGCAGGGGGGCCGGAAAAATCCACCTGGTGATGTAGAAATGCCACTGTGGGCGCGCCGAATGTCTTTGAGTACCGCTCCGTGGATACGCCGTTTCGCCCCCTTGCCAACGAAGTCCAGCGCAAGCTCCGGCTGCTCAGCACAAAGCTGTCGAAGGCCCGCAGGGTTGACCGTACTGATCCCGCAGCGCGTGGACCGCAGGCGGGCTCTTCGCACAGATCTCCATCTCGTGAAGCTCCTCACGGCAGCCTGCGAAGGATCCTCCGTGCTTGCCCGGTGGCACCAAGACCGCACACAGGCCCGTGCCCGTCGACTTCCTCTCGTGCGGCTCGGTAATTCTCTGCGCGAAGGCCCAGCATCAGCACACGCCCTCTTGTGATGATCGGCGATCACCCCCCTGCCACGCTTGCGGCTCCAGCGAACCACAACTCCATGGAGTACCAAACAGTCCATGCCACGCCCTCCGATCACGAAGACAGCTCAGAGCGAGGCGCCAAACTCCTCGAAGCAGTCAGCACAGTAGCACAGAACCGCCGAGCCCTGCTCGGCGCGGTCCATGGATGGAGGAACAAAAAAACTGCACAAATATACACCTTCGGAGCTCCGAAAGTTTATGTTTGTGTCGTCTTCCCTTCCTCGAATGGATCGGATGCACGCAAGAGCGACCCTCGGCAAGAGTGAGCTTTGGTGCGCGGCTGCAGGGGGCTGCGGGGGAGGCCAAATCCGAGCAATCCAAGCGCGCTATCCAGCGCTGGCGGGGCCCGTGTGCCCGCACCAGAGAGTCACAGGGCAGGCAGTGGGAAGTCTTCGAGTGGACCAGAAACTTGGGGCCGAACCCTGGGAGACACGATGGGGGGACGTCCTTCCTCGATAGGGGTGCGTCCGAATAGCCCCCGGGGGGTGTATCCCAGGGTTCCACTCCTTGTCTGAGCGGCTTCATTTCTCGTCGAGAAAAATCGACTGCAAAAGGTCCCTCTGGCGAAAGGTCACCCCTACGCGTAGCCGAATGGAGGCGTACTTGCCCAGGTCGCCGACCCGGCGGCCGTAGCGGACGGTGCCGGCGCACCCGCGGGGGCAGCTCAGGCCCTCCGAGACGTGCGGGAAGCGCTCCGCCAAAGTCTTCGCCACGGGCCCTGGGAGAGGCTCTGCCCCGCGCCCGGGGGCAGCCCCGACCGGCGCCGCTGCCGCCACCTGGGGGAAGGAGGGCATAGATACCGCTGCGGCTGGCGTTGCAAAGGTAGCCTGCAGCATCGCTTTCCGAAAATCCTCCTCCTCCTCCTCCTCCTCCTCCTCCTCCTCCTCCTCCTCCTCCTTCCTCCTCCTCCTCCTCCTCCTCCTCCTCCCTCTCCTCCTCACTCCTCCTGTCCTCCTCCTTCCTTCTCTTCCTCCCCCCTCCACCTCACCCCTCATCTCCTCATCCTGATCATCCTCATGATCCTATCATCTCATCATCCTCATCCTCATCATCATCATCATCACATCATCATCATCATCATATCATCATCATCAGTCAATTCATCATCATCATCATCATCATCATCATCAATCATCATCATCATCATCATCATCATATCATATTCATCATCATGCATCATCATCTCATTCATCATCATCATCTCATCATCATCATCATCTCATCATCATCATATCATCAGCATATCATCATCACAATAATCATCATCATCCTCATCATCATCAGCATCATCATCATCAGCATCATCATCAGCAGCATCATCATCGTCATCATCATCATCAACATCATCATCATCATCATCAACATCATCATCATCATCAGCATCAGCATCATCGTCAACATCAACATCAGCATCATCATCATCGTCATCATCATCCTCACCATTATCATCATGATCATCATTATCCTCATCATCATCATCCTCACCATCCTCATCCTCATCCTCATCCTCCTCATCATCGTCATCATCATCATCGCCATCATCATCATCATCAGCATCATCATCATCATCATCATCATCATCATCATCATCATCATCATCATCATCATCATCATCATCATCATCATCCTCGTCCTCGTCCTCATCCTCATCAGCATCATCATCCTCACCATCATCACCATCATCCTCATCATCCTCACCACCATCACCATCATCCGTAGCCATTTTGGCTCAAGCTGCGTTCCCCCGCTTTCTCTGCTGCCTGCTCGCCCATGGCCAATGTTGTTCCGCTGGCGGCCGGAGGCGGCGGCGCCTGGGGAGGGCTGGAACGGCATGGCCGCGGGACGCGCCCCGGCGAGGCCGCCCTTCGGGGGGGCGCCGCAGCAGCGCCCGCGCTGCCGCTGACAGCCTGGTCGAGGAGGAGCTCGTCTGGTGTGCTGCTTCCTGGACCCCGCCCCCCGCCCTCGTCGTCACGGCTGGACGCGGCTCGGCAAATCCCTGGTGGGTGTCTGCTCTTTGGGCGGATCTCCGTCCAACGGGGGTGGAGGGTGGTGGTCGGCGCGGGTGTGGCGGCCCTCCGCGCGGCGCCGGGGCAGCACACACAAGACGAGCTGCAGCGCCTTTCGAAGGAGGCTCGAGGAGGCGCGGAAGGAGTGCCAGTGCCTGCAGGACGCATTCGCGTCGGCCCTCGCGGACGGGGGCATCGGCGACGGGATCCTGGCGCGAATCCCCGCGCTGCGCGACCCGGTCAAGGGCCGCAGGCCCTCGGGTTTGCGCCGACTGCGGAGGAACGTGGCGCTCCATGCGGTGGCAGAAGGCATCGACGGCATCGCCACGGCTGGTGGGACGTCCTTGAGGCGTGCGGCCAAGTGGGCCAGGCTGGACAACCTGGCGGCGTTCCAGGGAGCCTCCCGTGGAGTGCATCCGCGGTTGGGCCGACGGCTTGGAACCTCACCGCCCCAGTGTTCGCGCCTGGTGCTCTTGCCACGGCGTCGTGTGGCAGTCCGCCGACGAGCAGGTGGACGCGCTGCTGCAGGCGCTGGCTGCGGCCCCTCCCCTGGGCGGGGCCCACCCCCCCGACACGGAGTATGCTGAGGGTGGATGCGCGTCTGCTGGCCTGCAGCCCGCTGCGCTTCCGGCGCAGCAGGAGCGGCCACCCGTGCCGCCCGCCGAGGCGCCGGGCGTGGACGGACGGGTCCGCTCGCGCCGATGGCGGGGTCATGGTGTGCATGAAGGTTCGGCAGCCTGGTTTCGCAGATCCTCTCGTCTTCGACGGTGGCGACTGCGAGTGCAGCGACGAGCTCGAGGACGGGACCTCCGGCGTGCAGGTAGACGACATGCTGCTGCTGCTGGACGAGTATGTTGCTGCCAGGCTGGAGGGCGGGGTGGTCGCGGTGGACTCCGCTGACGAGATCCGCGGCATCGCGGATTCGCCGATGGCCGCAGTCGAGGCGTTCCTCGAGGACGCCTGTGCGGCCCACGGAATATGGGGCGGGCCCCCGCCCTGCCCTGCGCGATCCGCCTCGAAATCTGGGCAGGGCGCCCCTCGGCGTGGGTTTGGGGGGCTTCGCCAAATGATCAAGGATGCTCCTCGATGGTCCTCGCCGCAGGAAAAATGCACACGTCCGAGCGATGCCAAGGCCGCCGCCGGGGTCGGGCTTGCCCCGGAACGTTCCCGTGCCCCCTGTCGGGGTGTGGGGGCGGCCGCTGGCGGCTGCAGGGCTTGCCCGCTTGGTCCCCGCGGGGGTGGTTGCCGTCCCCCCTGGCCTGTCCGCGGGAGAGGCCGGGGGTCGGACGGATGCCTCTCTGGGCTGCTTCGGGGCCCTTCCCTCATCGCCACGGCGCCCGCGGGGCGTGCTCGGGGCGGCGCGGGACCCTTGACATCTGGGGCCCTGGCGGTCGTCTGCGTGCAGACGGTCGCCAGGGCCCCTTTGATGATGCTCCGTACATCCATCCTCCTCCTCATCCTTCCCATCCTCCTCATCCTCCTCATCCTCCTGCTCCTCATCCTCCTCCTCCGCCACCCCTTTTTTCCCCAATTAGTAACTCCTCCCTGTCGCACCCCGAGACGTGTCGTAAAAGCGAGCCGGGCATTTCGCCCAAGATTTCCTCACGCTTTCTGATCCTGAAGGTAAAAGCTTGCAACAGCTTCACGGGTGGAGGCCGGGCCGTTTGTAAAATATGCGTCTTAAATATTGCAAGAGCTCCACGGATTAAGGGAGGGCCGTTTTCAAAATGTGGCTCTCGCCTCAGCGCCGCGCACATGCGTTTGATCGCAAGGGTTTCACGGAAGGAAGGAATGAGGAAGGAAGGAAGGAAGGAAGGAAGGAAGGAAGGCGGGTGGTTTTCAATATGTGGCTGAGGCCTTTAGCGCCGCGCGCATTCGTCTCAAAATTGCAAGAGCTTCACGGACGGAAGGCAGGTCGTTTTCAGAATGTGAGTCTCGCCTGAGCGCCGGGCACATTCGTCTTAAAAGTTCGCATGAGCTTTTCGGATGGGAAACGTTTTCTTTTCAAAATGTGGCTCTCGCTTCCACCGTGCACATTCGCCTCACATGTTTACAATAAATGAATGGATTCTGGTGGTTGCCGTCCCAGAAATGGTGTCCTGGCACGGTGTAGGACTGTCAGTGCGCAACAGTCACGTTGTTTCGCTGTGTTGGAATCCCAGGAATGGTATTGTGGCAAGATTCAGGACCGCCAGGACGCAACAGTAAAGTTGGTTCCTGGCGCTGAACTCCATGAAGCGGTGTCTCGGCACGATTGGGGATTCTCAGACAGTTGTCTTCCAACAAGGCACTTCCAGCAGTGAAAGCACATTCTCGTAGGGACCTATGAAGAGGGAACTCGGAGGGAGGGTGTACTACACCATCGTTGATGCGCCCTGGGTCTACACTGGTCCTCCCCATCCTCGTCCCAGCGAACGGGGTCGGCGGCACCGGCCATAAGGCCTTCCCTCTCGATACCGCAGCAGCTGGGGTTGCAAAGAGAGCGTGCAGTATCGATCCCCGAAGAGCACGCTACCCCTAAGGGGCGATCCCCCCGCGAGGGCCCCTTCTCTGCGCGCTCCCCCTGCGGGGAGTTTCCTCGGCGCGCGCTGTCCCCAAAGCGAGGGGGAAGCGTGTGCTGAGCGGGCCAGTGGCGCCACGTCGCACAAAAATCTTTGCAACGCCAACCGCTACTCCCAAGACCCCTCACAGGGCACAGTCCGAACAGGATCTCGCTGGAGGTCTGGACATGGGCACCAGCACCAACACAGGGGGTTGCCTCCACCGCGGGAAGAGGATCCTAGCGTTCGGCGTTGGCGGTGATACTCTGGCCGCCTAGGAAGCTCGGATCCTATCACCACCCACGCGATCGCGGACATCTTCCTTCGGTGGAAGCACACCGCCGATATCGGTGGGTGTCCACCTCTCGGCCTCCGACTGCGAGGCGAACCCGGACCCGGCCGTGGCGGCGAGGGAAAGGCAGCGGCGCATCTGTGCCCTTGTCCTCCTCGGACCACCAGCGCGTCCGCGACCCACACGACCATGCCGGGCTGCTGCACGGCCTCCGCGTCGCGCAGCCTCTCCGACCGCACGCGCAAGAGTGGCCCTGCAGGCCGGAGTGGCCTATGGTTCGGGTCGGGCGAAAGGGGGGGATAGCAAAGGGGGGGGGTGAGAATCAGCTCACGTAGCTGATTTTCCCAGCGCCTCCCGGCGCCGGAGACGGCTACGTATCGAGGAATGGGCCCCTCGGTGAGGCCGAAACCAGCTGCACGCAGCAAATTTCGTAACCACCCCTTTCCCAATCCCCCCCTTTCGTCCGGCCCGAATGGTGCGCGGCGTCGGGGAGGGCCGCGAAGGGCCCCGATCCAAGCGCGCGGGCCAGGGTGCCGGGGCCACCGCTGCGGCCCGCGCCGAAGGCCACTCCGGCGAAGGGCCCCTCTCACGCAGAGCCGGCCTCTCCGCCACGGCGCCCGCGGCGCCCGCGTCGAGCCGGCGGAGCACCCGCCGCAGCAGCCGCCGGCCGCCGCCGGCCTCCGCGCGCCGCAGCAGCTCCCCGCCGAGGGGGCCGAGCCAGGCCCGGGCAGCGCCCGCGCGCGAGAGCGCGGAGGCCAGCGCCTCGCGGTCCTGCGGGCCCCCCAGGCGCCCAGACACACCTGGAGCACTCGCGCGGAGGGAGGGAGGAGGGCGGGGCGTCAGCCCGCCGAGCGGCTGGCCGACGCCTGGGCTGTGGGGCCACCGCGGCCTCTCCCGCGCCGCCCCAGCAGCCAGGCCCCCCTCAGGCGTCCAGGCCTCCCACGGGAGCGACGAGGAGGAGCGGAGCGTGCGCACGTTGGCACAGCGACCTCACGCCGCGGCTTGCGGGGGCCGGCCACACTGGGGACGAGGGCGCTCATGCGCGACCTTACGCGGGACGCTTACGCGGCAATGTCGGTGAAGACGACCCCGTTTTCCTGCGTCACTCCAACGGGGTCTGGGTGGATGGGGTCGGAGGATCGCGCCGCATCGCCGACGTATCGGCTGCTGCGGCTCGATGTGGAGCCCAATTCTCTCCACGCAGACGTCGCCAGTCCATCGGCGATGCATCGGCGATGCGGCGCGATCCTCCGACCGTCATCTGCTCCGACACCACTTGGGAGGCCTCCAAGACCTCCGGCGTCGTGACTTTTCCAGAAGAGCTTCACGGATGCGCGGGACACTAGGTACTGTCTAGAACTCTCTTTGTCCTCCTCTCCACTCCCTCCCCTCCTCCTCTCTCGGGCTTCCTCCTGCCTCCTCAGCTCCTCCTCCGTCGGAACTCCTCGACCTACTCCCTCCTCCTGCCTCCTCGGCTCCTCCTCTTCCTCTCTCCTCCTCCTCGCTCCTCCTCCTGGCCTCGGACCCCCCCTCTCCTCTTGGTTCTTATAATTCTTCTTATTGTTATGAATTAGTATTATTATTCATTGTATATTATTACAAAATTATTACAATATTAATATTATTTTTTATTTTAATTATTATTTATTATTATTATTATTATTATTATTATTATTATTATTATTATTATTATTATTATTATTATTATTATTATTATTATTATTATTATTCTCATTATTATTATTATTATTACTATTACTATTATTATTATTATTATTATTACTAATAGTATTATTAATATGATTAATACTATTATTAGTAGAAGTATTATTATTAGTAGTATTATTATTAGTATTGCTATTATTATTTTCATTAGTATTATTCTTATTATTATTATTATTATTATGCGTCTTGCGATTATTCTTCTTAGTATGAATATTGTTATTATTAGTATTATTGTTATTATTCTTCTTATTATTATGAGTAGTCTTCTTATTCTTCTTCGTATGATTATTATTAGTAGTAGTAGTAGTATTCTTCGTCGTAGTATTAATAGTCTTATTCTTCTTCGAACTATTATTATTATGCTTCTTCTTCATATGATTATTCTTATTAT